TGAAGTGTGCACCAGGAAGGGGGGGCTGGGATGAAGTGTGCACCAGGAAGGGGGGGCTGGGATGAAGTGTGCACCAGGAGGGGGGGGCTGGGATGAAGTGTGCACCAGGAGGGGGGTTGGGCAGAGCCGATGTGCTGAGCCTCATTGCTGGCAGATGTGAACACACAATCTCCACTGGTACAGCATGGCCGTCCATCTGGTAGCTCTGTGTGACAGGTGGAAGCCTTGCCTTTGTAAGGTGTGGGGTAGAAGACTTAAGTTTGGGTGCATGGGACCTTAGGAGAGGCTGGGGTACAGCAAGGCTGGGTAGGAACTGAGAGATACCAGTGTGGCTTGCAGGTTTACTTCAAGGATACCCATCCCAAGTTTCCTGCTGGAGGGAAGATGTCCCAGTACCTGGAAAACATGAATATTGGAGACACCATTGAATTCCGGGGCCCCAATGGGCTGCTGGTCTACCAGGGCAAAGGTGATTGAAGGAGGCATCCCTGGGAACTGGGAAAGATTCTAGGAACTGGAGGGAGACTCTGGGTGGGGGGCAGGTGGGGTTCTCCCACCCCTTGGTTGTTTGACTGTTTACAGGATAAGTGGCCACCACAGTGGCTGCCCCTGGCTGTGCTTGGGGGGCCACGTTGCTTTGCCTACTCAGTGCCCCCAAACTACACAGCCAGTGTCTGAGTGGTGATCCTTCACTCTGCCCTCCCCCCTTGCTCTCTCTTTCCCATGAGAGAACTCATTTGAGCAGGGTCCTGGATTCTAATTGTCACCCCAACAGGCCGGGGTGACAATACCAACAGGCTGTGTGGTATTCTCTTTACCCTGGACCCTGTAGGGCTTAACTGCTTCAATCACCCATCATTCTCTGCTTAGGGAAATTCGCCATCCGTGCAGACAAGAAGTCCAACCCTGTTGTCAGGACAGTGAAGTCTGTAGGCATGATTGCAGGAGGGACAGGTAAGGGTTGGAACCTGGGCTGAGCTGTGCTGAGTTAGGATGTGTGGATGGGAAGAGGCAGGTCTGAGGCCAGGCCTGGGTGTCCCAAGCTTCCCCAGTGTGTGGGGTCCCTGTTTTACAGGTATCACCCCAATGCTACAAGTGATCCGTGCTGTCATGAAGGACCCAAATGACCACACTGTGTGCTACCTGCTCTTTGCCAACCAGGTCAGTGAACAGTCCCCAGAACAGGCTTGGCCAGGTCCTGTGCAAGCATCTGAAGGCTCCATTTATAAGGACCCATTGGTCAGCTGTTTTGAGGGGCCCTGCAAGTGAGGTGGCTGGAGGGGGCCACTATACCACTAGGGTTCTAGTGAGCTGCTGAATATGGCCCACAGGGGCATGGCGGTTCACCCCTGGGTTGTCCCTGTTGAGGTCCCCTAGTATAGCCCCTGAGTCACCTTTCCTGATTGGGTGGCCTGTCTCCTGCAGTCTGAGAAAGACATCCTGCTTCGGCCTGAGCTAGAGGAACTGAGGAACGAACATTCCGCTCGCTTCAAGCTCTGGTACACAGTGGACAAAGCACCTGATGGTGAGCATGGGGAACCCCAGGTGGAGTGGGAGGTACCCACCCTCAGCCCTGAGCCTTCACCAGGCTCATTCAGCATTCATGCCTGTGGAGGAACCAGATCTCAGAGAGAGGAAGCAGCAGAGGCAGGAATCTGTAATCCCCATCTCCACACTGCTCTGATGGACAAAGAAGCCCACACTGTCTCCTTGGGCCTGGCAACTTTGGGGCAAGCCTTGGGACAGTGCTGAGGGTTGGGCTGGCAGCTTCTATGTGATTTGTAGTCTGTAACAGTCTTTGTGTTTTTTTTTCTGGTTGCTCGCTCTGGAGAGGGGATGGAAAGTATGGTTGCCCTGACAGTGCCATGCACCTGCATAAACTGTGGGCTAAGTTCATGGTGCTGTGGAGGGGCCAGGCCCGCGCTGGGGATAAGAACCCCAAACTCCTGTGAGACTGCTCTCTGGGAACTGGGCTGTCCTTTTCCTGCTTTGAGTAAAAAATGAGGCTATAAGAGGTCATGTCAGTGTTGGGGTGGGCTCACTCTACAGGCATGAAGCCCAGGCATGACCTACAGCATAACAAAAACTGGGCATGGCATATGCTTGCCATCTCAGCCTTCAGGAGAAGACGAGGGCAAGAGCATCAGAAGTTCATCATTCTCAACCATTTAGCAAGTTCAAGGCCAGCCTGAGCCACATGGGACCCTAACCCTTTAAAACAACAACAACAACAACAGTGAACATTGCTGTCTTTGCTGTAAAGAAAGCGGCTGCCCCTGCTTCCTCCAAGACTGTTGCTAGCTGCCCCTGGTAGAGAGTGCAAAGACTATTTCTAGTCCCCTCTCCCCCCACCCCAAGAGAGAGGGCAAAGATAGTCTCTATTAGCCACAGGTGGAGAGGGCAGAAAGATAGTTTCTCTAGCTGCCCCTGGTAGAGAGTGCAAAGACTGACTATTTCTAGTCCCCTCTCCCTCCACCCCAAGAGAGAGGACAAAGATAGTCTCTATTAGCCACAGGTGGAGAGGGCAGAAAGATAGTTTCTATTTATCTTGGGTAGAGAGAGCAAAAATAGAGCAAAGGAATGATTCCACCCAAGTTCACCCTGATGGTGCCCAGTGCATCTATTGGGCTAACCTAGAAGCATGGCTGAGGGAGCCCTTGCAGGAACATGGTGACTCTGAAGTAGCCGCATCACTAAGAAGCCTACCCCAGCATTGGTGACCTTGGCATCCCAGGAGCTCTCTGTGCACCTTGCAGGCAGATCCACTGAAGAGCCTCCTTTTCCATAGACCGCCTGAGGGCCTTTGTAATCTCAGGGAGACCAAATTTCTAGAGCTTTATGAGCCTTGGCCTCTGCCCTCCCCCAGTAGGAAGGAGTTTCAGTGGGAAGAAACAGCTACTCAACATGTGGGCCAAGCCATGTGTGAATCAGCAGGGCACTGGGTGTGGGTGTCTGAATGGCTTCTTTTCTTTTGTAAAGAAAGTGGTAGTGGGAGGTGGGCTTGCCTGGAGCAGCTGACTGGAGACGGCCCTCTAGAGGGGTCAGGGCCAGTGCTCCCCCTGGTGGTGGTCTGTGGAAATGTAGACTGCCTTGCAGGGCTGTTTTCCCCGAACAAGGCTAGAGTTGGTTAATTAGCTGGCATTTCCCTTTTATCCAATACCACCCTGGCCCACAAGGAAGCAGCAACAGGCCCTTAGGACCCAGACACAGGGCCAGCAGCCCACACATGTGGCAAATGCTAAGTTTCCCCAGGGCTACCTTTGGGACCTGGGTTAGGAGACACCATGAAAAAAGGCCTTTGAGCCTCTCCTCTGTACCTATCTGTGCTGTCCGATGTCTTGTTCCCAGGCAGCTATCTGCCTGTGCCACGCCTTGTTCCGGGGGCATCTGAGGAAGCCTGCAGTGACTCACACACTGAGTCAGAGGGCAACAAATGGATTTTAGGAATGGAAGAAAAACAAGGGCAGGCCTAAAGTGGAGTCAGGGATGGGCTCCTACAAATCATCGCTGTGGAGGATGACTGCCACAAGTGGGCCTTGCATGTCACTCTGACATTCCCAATAGCCAGGGTGCAAAAAGAAATGGATTCAGTTACTTAGCTCATGGTGTTCATGAGCTGGAGAATGTGATTGATCAAACACAGTGGATTCTTCCCAGTCCTAGGTCTCCTGGGACTGGATTGGCCCCTCCTGCACCTGGGACCCACAGAGGAGACATCATATAGGCAATGCCTCCCTGTTAAGTCAGCGCCTTTTAAAGCAATTATTAATGGTGTGTGAGTGTGTGTTACAAGGTGATTCCATGGCACATGTGTGGAGGTTAGAGGACAAGTTTGTGGAGTTAAGTTCTGGGAATTGAACTCAGGTCACCAGTCTTGGCTTGTACATTCTGTTGATGTTGAGGACTTTGAGGAAGCTTGTCTGGGTTTCAGAGGGCAGAGACAAGCAAGAGATAATCTTGAGTGATGTAGACTGGAGGGATTGATTGAGGGGCCTCTGCCAGGCCTGGTGGAGCCCTGAGTTTTAGAAGCAGTCTCATTGGCAGGTGTCAGTGTCCCAACATCCGTCTGCTTGGCCACTGCCTCACCTGTCTACCTCTGAAACCAATCTAGAGAATGTGCCCATCGGGGCACAGCGCAGGGACTGGCCTGGTGCAGTGTCCCTCAGGTGGACCGAGAGGTGTCAGAATTGTTCTGAACATCCTGAACCAGCCAGCCAGTCCTTAAAAGTTAGTACAGGACCAGGGCCCACCCCAGCGGCCGTGTGCTTCTTTCTGTGTTACCTGTTATGAGGGACGAGTGGGTGGAAATAGTGTACACATGGGCCCAGGAAAGAGGGGGAGGTGGTGGCAGGACCTGGAGGGAGCAGCTGCCACCCAGTGCCCAGGCCTAGAGTTTGAAGCTGTCCTGGCCTCCCCAGTGATGGATTGAGGACTGTTCTTAAGGCTGCCCCTACCGCTTCCAGGGGATTTTTGTTTTATTTAATTATTTCAAGGCAATCTCACTCTATAGTTCTCTAGCTGGCCTTGAACTCACATCCTCACTTTTCTTGTCTCTCTCAAGTGCTGGGGTTTCATTCCTGAACCTGTAATCTCTCCTGGCCCGCTCACTGTTTACTGAGTAGCAGTTTCAGGCCAGGGACCAGAACAAGACCCTACTTCTTGTAGGCTGACTCTGGTGGCAGAATACTCAGGCAGTGAGCTTGCAGCTGGGGTTCAAGGTGTAGACAATGTCACTCTGACCAGCCTGGGCTGGGTACCTTCTTAGGGAGACTAGTTAGTTGGGTGTAACCTTGAACAATTCTGTGTCCTCTGGGCATTCCTTTCTATAATATGAAATCCGTATGCCATACCCTGGGCAGGACTGTTGTTTAGCATGTATGGGCCGAACTCCATCCTCCACTACAAGACTAAATAATCCTGTGATAGTTGTGGGGGCCATGGGGCAGGTTTTCAAATTGTAAGGTAGGTGAGGGCAAGCAGGAAGGCCTTGTCTTCTGGTTGCAGGCTGTCAGCAGGTTCAGGGTTCAGGCATGTATAACATCTGGGAGAGGACAGGATGGACAGAGGAACTGTGGGTCAGGTGGGCAGTGGATTCCATTCTGACTGAGCTGGTCTCTTGTTCTACAGTCTGGAACTACAGCCAGGGCTTCGTGAACGAGGAGATGATCAGGGACCATCTTCCACCGCCTGGGGAGGAGCCACTGATACTGATGTGTGGACCTCCACCCATGATCCAGTTTGCCTGTTTGCCAAACCTGGAGCGTGTGGGCCACCCCAAGGATCGATGCTTCACCTTCTGATGGCTGGATGCTGGCCACTCCCATGCCTGCTGCTCATGTATTCACCACAGCCACCTGTCCACCCTTTTCTTCTCACCACTGTCCCTCACTCTAACATAAGTTCACATCCATACTGGGGCCTGGGTTCAGCCTGGCCTGCCCAGCCCTGGTCATCCAGCTGTACTGGCCCCTGAGGGGCCTTTGGGATCAGGACTTTGTATCAGGTGACCCCTGTTAACCACTTTCTGTATAGGCTCCTGTTTGGCACTAATTAGCCATTATCAGAGATGTCCCGTGACACACACACACACACACATACACACACAGCTGTCAGTACCATGTCTACACATTGCCATGAACCAGTCTATAGAAAGGAAAAGGGAAGGGTAATAGCCACAGTCCCAGGTTTCATGCCTACCATCCACCCACCTGCCTTAGGTCATGGCCTGCCCCGTGTCCCTAACACTACATTATACAGCCACACCCAGAGGTTCTCTTAGGTAGTGACAAGCTACCCCCCACCGCTGGCCAAGAGTTCCTGGGGCAACACATGGACCTTTCCAAAACCTCATGCACCCCTACAGCCTTGGGTGCCCTAAGTCCTCAGTGCAACAGAGTGTGGTATTGGGATCCCCAGCTTGGTCTGGAGCCACCACTCTGGCTTGTTTCTCTGTCCCAAACCTCGCTCCTGCCTGGTCCCCCGCCTGGGGGAGGGCTTCTGAGCAGTGCCTCTTGTGGGAGACAGACCCCGTGCCCGGCACTGCCTCCAGCAGGTGATGTTGTATCCTGCACACTGGCTTTTTTAGTCATTTATGGGCAGAAAAGAGTTGAAGTAAAACTTTGCTAATACTGACCCTCTGGAGTCTCCATGGGGAGGGTCATGTGGTACTGACACTATTTTTTTTTTTTCAGATATGCGTTTGTATTGCCTGTTCAGAGTTTGGGAAGAGGGGAAAAGTAGACAGGAAGCCCCCCCTTGTCCTCTCACTGATGACTGTCATCACCAGGTCAGCACAGCCCTGTGGAAGAAAGAAAGGGGGATGTGCTCTTTCCTGGTTCACTATCCCATGTTGAGGTTTCCCGGTGATGCCTCTGCCATTGCCTTCCCTTCCCTGATCCCCAACTCTGTATTCTTCTGGGAAAGATGGTGGACTGATAGCAGTTGTAAAATGGTCTGAAGACAGATCAGGTGGGAGTACGGCTGTTCTTACAACTGGGTATTAGGAAAGCCACCTCTGGTGACACAGCTGGGATATGAAGTCCTGGTCCCGCTGGGGCAGACTGTCAGGCTCACTGAAAGACCCTGCCAAAAAGCAAGGTGGGTGGGGGCAGCTGAAGAAATGCCTCAGTGGTGAAGAGCAGCCGCTGCTCTTCCAGAGGTCCTGAATTCAATTTCCAGCAACCACATGGCGGCTCACAACCGTTTTAGTGAGATCTGGTGCCCTCTTCTGGCCTGCAGGTATAACACTATATACATAATAATTCTTAAAAAAAAAAAAAAAAAAGCCAGGCAGTGGTGGCCCACACCTTTAATCCCAGCACGTGGGAGACAGAGGCAGGCGGATCTCTGTGAGTTCAAGACCAGTCTGGTCTATAAGAGCTAGTTCCAAGCCGGGCGCATGCCTTTAATCCCAGCACTCGGGAGACAGAGGCAGGCGGATCTCTGAGTTCGAGGCCAGCCTAGTCTCCACAGCGAGTGCCAGGATAGGCTCCAAAAAAGAAAACAGAGAAAGGGAAAGACACCTAGCATTGATCTCTGGCCTCTACATGTACACAGTTGGTGAATGCACACATATACAAACGTACATACGTACATACATACATACATACATACATACATACATACATACATGAACATAGGTGGCTAGAAGGGATAGGAAATGGTAAAGAAGGGGGCGGTGCTATACTCAAGGAGGTGACCATTAGGTGGAGAAACCACAGAAACACAAACACCCCCATCTGCCTTCAGCTATTAAGTCCAGAGTGGAGCCAGGAGAGTCTGAGGGGGTCACAGCCTCTCTCATGTCCCTGGAAAGCTGTACACAGGACTCGTGTGTGCTCCACTTGGAATCTCAGGCCCCACAGGCCTTCATCAGTGTGAGCGGTTGGCACAGGTTAGGTCTGTGCTGCCTGAGGATGTGAAATCGGTGTTTGAAAGGGAACTGGTCTTACTCTTTGAAAACAAAACTAGGATTAGGAGATGTGCTGGACCCGGCCCGGGCCCTTTCTACTTCAGTTTTCCAGTCCACCATGTGGGCTAGTGATTATTCACTCTGCCTAGACCTGAGGCTCATTTAGAAAGTTTCAGTGGCCCCTTGACTCCCAGAAGTTGATCTTGGGGTGTGGAGAAATCACTCCCTAACACATGGAATTGGGAAAAATCAACCTGCTCCAAAGATATCAGGAACTAGTGAAAAGAAAAGGAATTCACAAGAGGGTAACACTTGCTTATGTAGTATGCTGGTGTAGAGTTGAAGTCCTCCAGAAGAGATGCTGTCACTGGAGACTTGTCCCCAGCAGGACCCTGGGCACCCCCTCCCCCAGTGCAGCTGGACTCCGGGTTCCACATCTCCGCACCGCTCAACTGGCCCCGACACACTGAGGCTAAACCTGCAGCTTTCCCTTTGCCCACTCTGGGATCCCGCACAAATAGTGACAGCAAAGAGAAACAGGAGAGACAGAGCATGAAAGCAAGAGGCTGGTGGTCTCTACTTAAAATTAAGGACAGGGAACACCCAACCTTAGCTCTACTCTTGGGACCAAGATAATTCTTCAGACTCAGATGCGGTGCTGAACTTGCAGAGTTCTCCGGGCTTCGACCTAGCTTTTCATATTTTCAAACCCGGAGGTGGACTTGTACCTTCCACCCTACAGTAGGTGGCTAAAAGCCTCGCAGCCTGTTTGCTTAGCTAGGGATATTTAAGGAGTTCCGTGCATGCACATAAATGCGGCCTATTATCTCCAGCAACCGGGCTGAGCTGCTCGCCAGCTTTCTGACTTTCTTTATCGTGTGGGGGGGTCGGGCAGATTACCGCACCCAGGCATCCCGCAAAGTAGGCGGGTCGCCTTAGGGGGCAACCTTTACCCGCTCAAAAATTCGTCTCACATTAGCAGTGAGGACTCGGGCGTCACCCCGAATCGTTATTTTCCTTACTCATAAGTTTAAGGCATAAAGAGTTTCTGCCCGGCCCTCAGTGGTAAGGAATTAGATTCGCATTACAAGTATGGTGAGTTTCAGATCGTCCATTGAGCCGATAGACTTATTTATATGAACGTTTTCTAGTGATTTCCAACTTCCATCATTTTAACTCTTCGTCTGTAAAAGGAAGGAAAAAAATAATGCACCACGTTTCGGCTTTCTATATGCAGATTAGAAGTGGCCACCGCAAAGGCTCACGGGGAGCGGGCCCCACCCCTTCCGTTCCGAACTTCGTTTTGAGTTGTCGCGAGAGTTGGTTGTCCGGGTGTCGGAAGCTGCTCGTCGCTCCGAAAGTGTTCAAGGGGCGGGCTCGCTGCTGTCGCCTCCCCACTCTCC